CATTTGAAGTCCTGCAATTTAAATAAGTAAAATTGCAAAGTGTTAGCAACAAATCATTCTTAAAAGTACAACAACAAAAACCATCATGCTTAAAAGCTGAGTCAGTTATATATTATTGATTACATTGATGCATTACATATAAGCTACAGTATCTTTAAGATGAAGGAGGTGGAGGTTGTTTTGACCACTTTCAAACACTACAGGGCTGAAAAACAGATAATTATTTGTAGTCAATTGTATAATGGAAACACTACATGTACCTTGAAATTGCACGTACAGTAAGTACAGATGAAGAATAACAGCATTTGTGCTTTTTTTGAAGATACTTTGCATTTCCAGGAAAGCTATTCAGTAATAACAAACTTTATTTATCTAGCACTGTTCAAAATCAAGTTCACAAGTTGCATACAATACAAAACTATATATAAGAATACATAAACATACATAGCAATCACAAGATGAGAATCGGTTCAATGCAACCTAGAAAAAGCAACAGATAAAAACTTATAAGAAGATTCTTACTCTCTGGAGGAAATGGCATCAAGACGTTTCAGCTGTATGGCTCCACTGACCTGACATGTTATTTGGTGTGAGCTGCAGCTCGTGGTGGGGGGGCACAGCTGGAAAAGACGCTCTGCGATGGGAAGCGTCTGGCAGAGCCTCGGCCTGCAGTGACCCGGTGTTCAGTGCCAATCTTTAGCTAGACTTCTGTCAATGAGGCACATTTAATTGCTACTTTCTGTCAGGTGGCAGTGAAAGTAGGTCACTGCTATTTATGCTGCAGCAGGTGGAGCACCAGAGAAACCTCTTAACTCATTAATTAGTTCACAAAGAAGGGAAACATTTTTATTTACTGCAGATTGAAGCATTAAAGGTGCAGTCCTGGATGCTCGGGAAAAGGGAGAGTAAGATTAAGAGTTCTAAATATTTCACAATTTCCATTTTTTAAAATATTTTTCTCACAAATATACATTCTCACAGTCTCTGTCTCAAATTACAGACCTGCTCGATTGCCCTGCTTGATGGGTTTCTTCCCCGCGTGAGATATGTGTAATTTAAACCTGATATTGAAGAAGGGCACGAATAGTTCCAGTATCCGTGGCAGAGTCAGTTGAGGTGAGAGACCTCACTTGACCACAGCAGATTTTAAAGACCACAGAGTTTCCCTGCTGAACCTAAAGAACATTTTATATAGAAACTGTATTTCAGTAAGAAGCTTCTGAGAAATCCCACATCAGATGCCACTGGAGTAAAGGAAGTGGAGGTTGGATACACATTCAAAGAGATCAGTTTAATCCAGGAGTGTCCAAACTTTTTTCACCGAGGGCCACATACAGAAAAATATACGAAGGCTGGGCCACTCCCTAGAGGTATTTTTGCCTCATAAGTTACGTTTTAAGTCAGCAAACTCAATCTAATGTAGATTGTTACTTGAAATAATGCTTTTAAGAAACAAAAACAGCCTTCTCTCACAGCTCTAGGGTTTCATTATGTTGGCAACTCATTCCTTAAAACAGGGGCCTCAGATCGCTTATTATTAGGGGAAATGTGAAGGGTATATTTTACGCTTGTTATACAAATAAGTTATTGGGGGTTTTCTTATCAAGTTAGATTTGTTATGAAATGTTTTCTACGGAAGAGTATTAGGGCCACATAAAAAATTTTTTTGTGAGGATTTGAAAAAATATATTTTTTTTTTTTGTTCTGAGAAAAAAGTCAGAATTCTGAGATTAAAGTCAGAATTCTGACTTTAATCTCAGAATTCTGACTTTTTTCTCAGAACAAAAAAACATTTTTTTTTTTGGGAGAAAAAAGTCAGAATTCTGACTTTAATCTCAGAATTCTGACTTTAATCTCAGAATTCTGACTTTTTTCTCAGAAATACCGGTAACTGTAGAACCAGCTTCACTGCGATTTACACATTGCAGTAGGCAACAATGGAGGACGTGAGTGACTTTCTGCGCGCCAGAGGGGGTCCAAAGAGGAAACCATAATAAGTCTTTTACAACCATCTGCAATGTGTAATCGCAGTGAAGCTGGTTCTACAGTTACCGGTATTTCTGACTTTTTTTCTCCCAAATAAAATGTTTTTTTTTTTTTGTTCTGAGAAATAAAGCCAGAATTCTGAGATTAAAGTCAGAATTCTGACTTTTTTTCTCCCAAAAAAAAAAATGTTTTTTGTTCTGAGAAAAAGTCAGAAGTTCTGAGAAAAAAAGTCAGAATTCTGAGATTAAAGTCAGAATTCTGAGATTAAGTCAGAATTCTGAGATTAAAGTCAGAATTCTGAGATTAAAGTCAGAATTCTGACTTTTTTCTCAGAACAAAAAAAATAATATATTTTTTCAAATCCTCACAAAAAATTTTTTTATGTGGCCCTAATCCTCTTCCGTAGTTTTCAAATGTAATTGACTGGATTTATTTAAAAAGTGGGCTTATTAACACAGGAATACAGTGCAATGTTTACATATATATTTAACAGCGACGTGCAGTCAGGGGAGGCAGGGGAAGCAGGGCCTCACCTGTCATACTCCAATGTAACGGAAAAACAACTAAAGAAAAACTAAATAGTAATAATAACATGTCTCCACTGATCTGTGTTGTAAGTGTGATTTCTGTTTGATTCCAATCGCTTTTTATAGTCAAAATCAGCAAATTTACCGAGCTCCGCTACAACTCCTACATGGGAGCGATGAGGAGTGAGGCAGGGACGAGCTCTGCCTCACGTAAGCCCACAGTAACTGGCTGGAGCGCGGGCACTAATGTAGCGCGGGCACTTATTTTGTGAGCGCGCTCAAGCCAGAATGCGTCACCCCACAGAAACTGGCTGGAAAGCGGGCCCTAAGCGCATGCCTGCACCATCTCACTGTATGTCACCAATGTAATGTTTGAAGATCCCTTTATTACATGTGTCCTCGCCATCCATAGTCTCCAAATAACTTATTTCACGTATATATGATATTTAGGCCCGCTGGTCTCATCATACAACGGCAATGAAAAAAGCACCAGGAGAGGCAGCCATAACCTCTGCCGCACTGAAGGGGGCGCACGTGAGCCCACAGGTTCTTGTTGCTACTGTTATTCTACGCAGAGACGGTAGACCCGGTAGACGCGAACAACAAACTAGACTTTTGAAACTAGAGGAAGATAAGGAGGACTTTTACAAAAATGTAATGGAGATTGTTGTCCAGAAGGAGAGCATGGACTTCATCTTCAAGTCAAGGTAAGACCACAATTGTAATGAACATGGGATCTTACTAAGAAAGAACAATCCAATATTTAGATTTTGGGTATCCTTTTGTTGAACAGTCTGTTTAAAATGAATCGAAGCATCAGACTAAAAAAGCTTTTGAAAATAACCGAACATTTCGATTAAGGTCAAAATATAATATTTGTAAATCTGACTCTGAAAGCCATGAACCTCACCGCACGTCACTGATATTTAAGAAGTACAATACAAGACAAGTACAAGTTTAATTTGCGGGCCATATTCCATTATACTTTCAGAATTTGCTGAGGGCCGATTAAAAATGGTCCGCGGGCCGCATTTGGCCCCCGGGCCGTAGTTTGGACACCCCTGGTTTTAAACGTTTATAGTACAGGTTTGATACAAAAAAACTAAAATCTGCTTATATTTTAATATCATCTCTATAAGTGGTCACATCTCAACACTGCCACCTCATGTTTAATAGACAAACAACAGCCTGCATCCGTCATGAGATCAAATATGGGCATGGAAAGACCGTCTGCACACTTTCATTTGAATTGTGTGGTGATTACGCAACCGCCCTGTGACGCAATGAGATGATGATGATGATGATGCCCACGATATCAGTTGTTGATGTTTCCCAAAATAGCATCACAAATAGTTTCATCACCATAATGAGAAATGGACTGAATGGCTGTAAGAGCTCCTAAAATAAAACTTGGCTGTCGCTGCTCAGCCGCATGTAAACAGATTATGATTATATGTGCGAATCAATTCAATGACCTGCTATCCAATCACAGCCCCTCCCCTGGGGTCTCCATATACACCCTCTGGCAAATACAGAGTTTACACTAGTAAACATTCATTAGACTTTGCATAAGTCTCCTTATTGTGACTGAAACGCTAAACTGTGTACCCTAATTTCCTGCAGCTTCATATATTACGTTGAGCCAAACACGTCAGAGCAAAGAGAGTCATTGGATCTACAAAAAACGTAAAAACCCAAAACAAATTAAAACAAATATCATTCCCCCCCCCTATGTCACCACATATACATTTGCCTGCGACAAGAAATCACAACAACCAGACAGTTTTGGCACTGGCATGCCAGCGAAGCCATTGCAGACATTTTACGCATGCCAATTACGCACAGGCTCATTTTCACCAAAACTGTCCAGGTGATTATGATGGGATGACTTGAGATTTTTTATTAGCTAAATAATCAGAAATAACTACATTGTATTTTAAAAGTCCTTTTTATTTATCAAGGAACCACTAAGAAGCCTTTTTTGGCTGAAATGGCGAAGCGAACCTTTAAACTGCCATTTAAAGGGCCATACACACCGTTTAATTTTTAAATGTAAAAGTCACATTGGAGTTTCATAAAAAGCCTTTGAATAATAATGAGAAGTGTCTTAAAATACTGATAAAAAAGTGAAAATAGTGTCATTTTTAAACATATCTGATAAGTTGACTCATGCTATAAAAACCTGCTTTAACTGTCGGATCATTTATTATAAGAAGTTTACAAAATGTTTCACTCCATACTGCCAGTTAAACGGATCAAAACTACATGGCCACAGAGTACGTTTCACCCAAATCAGCAGCGTATATTCATAGCCCTATGCAATATCAAGCACTTTTGCATAGGCATACACTTAGCCTACCATTTAAGCATCTTCATTTATGTGCATATAAATAGATCAACTCTGTCTACTGGACACATTTTTTCGACCGACTGCTTTGACTGCTTTGCACACAGTGTCAATTTCATAGCCTATGCATCATATTTCGGGCGAGTGAAGGTATATAAGCTCGCAGGAGAGGCTGAAGGGTTCACTGCAGTGATCTCATTCAACTGAACGAATCCACTCTGGTCTCTAGATAAACCCCAAGGTGAGTTTCAAAGAGGAGCAGCAAACCTTTAAAAATCTACTGCCTGAAAGCAAAGAGAGCTTCAGGGGCTTCAACTCCAAGCAATGGGATTTAAAAATCGAGGAAAGGGCCAGAATCAGAAGCTCAGAGTTTGGACTAACTGAGGAACCAAATGGAGAAAAAAAAAATCTATTGCAGCCAAAGGATATTTTGCCTTGGAGGGCTTTGATTTTGAGAAAATTGGACTACCTTTTTCTGATCATTTTGGGGCTGCCAGAGAGGAATACTCACAGAAAGCAACAAAGAAAAGATATACTGCATGCCATTAAATAAGTTTACATGTAGCTTTTTAACTTTGACCACTGTAATGTAGAAGTGAGGGGGCTTAACATGCTAAGATTCAAAGTGCTTAACACTGTCTGATTCGCTGCAGCTCAACTGATGACTTGTCCTCTGCTCTCCTCCCTCAGTAAAAAACAAAAATGGCACTTGCAGGAACTCTGAAGGAGGCTGACATCACTGCAGCCCTCGCAGCTTGCAAAGGTAAACCACATGAAAATGACACAGCATTGTTCAGGACAGATAGCGACTCGTGCACAAAAACAGGCAACTCGTCATATTTCAGTATTCTTACTCATTTAATGCCGACTTTCCTGCAGCAGAATACCATTTCTAACACAGAATCACACCAGATTACAGCAAATGGGACTTTAAAAGCAATTTTTGCAGCTTTGAAATGTAACTAAGTACATTTTTAAAGTGCTTCAACTTTACTTAAGCACTTACTACTTATACTTTACTACATTAACTGCATTTTTGTACTCCTTTACATTTTTGATGACTTGAGTTACTCTCAGATTTCGATCATAGATAACAAATATATATCACCTTCTGAATTATAACAGCTTAAGATACTCAGCTAAAGGACTTTTACAGATGCAACATGCAATAGTATACACAATTAAATCTAATATAATGTATACAATCCAATTTTATATATTGTATATCACTCTCAAATGGGCTTTTTGATGCTAATATTGTTGTGCCTGACTTAAGTAAGAGTCGAATGCAGGACATTTCATTGAGATATAGGATTTTTAACACTCATAAATAGTGGTAATTTTGAGTGAACTATCGAATTACTTTACCCAATGAACTCTTAACATATACAACCATTTATTTGAACATGTATCAGTACAGAAAAACCTCTTAAACGCTGAATGACAATCAGGGCAGAGGTTTGGGAAGAATAGGAACAAACCACCAGACCTTGTAAACGATACCAGTACTTCAGTTTCTGTGTGAAATTCCTAAAACATCTGATCTCATATCTTCTCCTCACAGCTGCTGAGTCTTTCAAGCACAAGGAATTCTTCGCTAAGGTCGGCCTGTCCGCCAAGAGCGCTGATGACATCAAGAAAGCTTTCGGGGTCATTGACCAGGACCAGAGTGGCTTCATTGAGGAGGAGGAGCTGAAGTAAGAACACCTCTTAGACCCTCACTTAAGAAACTCTAAACTATCTAATTTCTACCTCATACTTAACTTACTACTATCTCAACTCTACCTCATACTTAACTTACTACTATCTCAACTCTACCTCATACTTAACTTACTACTATCTCAACTCTACCTCATAGTTAACTTACTACTATCTCAACTCTACCTCATACTTAACTTACTACTATCTCAACTCTACCTTATAGTTAACTTACCACTATCTCAACTCTACCTTATAGTTAACTTACTACTATCTCAACTCTACCTTATAGTTAACTTACTACTATCTCAACTCTACCTTATAGTTAACTTACCACTATCTCAACTCTACCTTATAGTTAACTTACTACTATCTCAACTCTACCTTATAGTTAACTTGCTACTATCTCAACTCTACCTTATAGTTAACTTACTACTATCTCAACTCTACCTTATAGTTAACTTGCTACTATCTCAACTCTACCTTATAGTTAACTTACTACTATCTCAACTCTACCTTATAGTTAACTTACCACTATCTCAACTCTACCTTATAGTTAACTTGCTACTATCTCAACTCTACCTTATAGTTAACTTGCTACTATCTCAACTCTACCTTATAGTTAACTTACTACTATCTCAACTCTACCTTATAGTTAACTTACTACTATCTCAACTCTACCTTATAGTTAACTTGCTACTATCTCAACTCTACCTTATAGTTAACTTGCTACTATCTCAACTCTACCTATAGTTAACTTACTACTATCTCAACTCTACCTTATAGTTAACTTGCTACTATCTCAACTCTACCTTATAGTTAACTTGCTACTATCTCAACTCTACCTTATAGTTAACTTGCTACTATCTCAACTCTACCTCATACTTAACTTACCACTATCTCAACTCTACCTTATAGTTAACTTGCTACTATCTCAACTCTACCTTATAGTTAACTTACTACTATCTCAACTCTACTTTATAGTTAACTTACTACTAGCTCAACTCTACCTTATAGTTAACTTACTACTATCTCAACTCTACCTTATAGTTAACTTACTACTATCGCAACTCTACCTTATAGTTAACTTACTACTATCTCAACTCTACCTTATAGTTAACTTACTACTATCTCAACTCTACCTTATAGTTAACTTGCTACTATCTCAACTCTACCTTATAGTTAACTTGCTACTATCTCAACTCTACCTTATAGTTAACTTACTACTATCTCAACTCTACCTTATAGTTAACTTGCTACTATCTCAACTCTACCTTATAGTTAACTTACTACTATCTCAACTCTACCTTATAGTTAACTTACTACTATCTCAACTCTACCTTATAGTTAACTTGCTACTATCTCAACTCTACCTTATAGTTAACTTACCACTATCTCAACTCTACCTTATAGTTAACTTGCTACTATCTCAACTCTACCTCATACTTAACTTGCTACTATCTCAACTCTACCTTATAGTTAACTTACCACTATCTCAACTCTACCTTATACTTAACTTGCTACTATCTCAACTCTACCTCATACTTAACTTGCTACTATCTCAACTCTACCTTATAGTTAACTTGCTACTATCTCAACTCTACCTTATAGTTAACTTACTACTATCTCAACTCTACCTTATAGTTAACTTGCTACTATCTCATCTCTACCTTATAGTTAACTTGCTACTATCTCATCTCTACCTTATAGTTAACTTACTACTATCTCAACTCTACCTTATAGTTAACTTGCTACTATCTCAACTCTACCTTATAGTTAACTTGCTACTATCTCAACTCTACCTCATACTTAACTTGCTACTATCTCAACTCTACCTTATAGTTAACTTGCTACTATCTCAACTCTACCTTATAGTTAACTTGCTACTATCTCAACTCTACCTTATAGTTAACTTACCACTATCTCATCTCTACCTTATAGTTAACTTGCTACTATCTCAACTCTACCTCATAGTTAACTTACTACTATCTCAACTCTACCTTATAGTTAACTTGCTACTATCTCAACTCTACCTCATAGTTAACTTGCTACTATCTCAACTCTACCTTATAGTTAACTTACCACTATCTCATCTCTACCTTATAGGTAACTTGCTACTATCTCAACTCTACCTCATAGTTAACTTACCACTATCTCATCTCTACCTTATAGTTAACTTGCTACTATCTCAACTCTACCTTATAGTTAACTTACTACTATCTCAACTCTACCTTATAGTTAACTTACTACTATCTCAACTCTACCTTATAGTTAACTTGCTACTATCTCAACTCTACCTTATAGTTAACTTACCACTATCTCAACTCTACCTTATAGTTAACTTACCACTATCTCAACTCTACCTTATAGTTAACTTACTACTATCTCAACTCTACCTTATAGTTAACTTGCTACTATCTCAACTCTACCTTATAGTTAACTTGCTACTATCTCAACTCTACCTTATAGTTAACTTACTACTATCTCAACTCTACCTTATAGTTAACTTACCACTATCTCAACTCTACCTTATAGTTAACTTGCTACTATCTCAACTCTACCTTATAGTTAACTTACCACTATCTCAACTCTACCTCATACTTAACTTACTACTATCTCAACTCTACCTTATAGTTAACTTACCACTATCTCAACTCTACCTCATACTTAACTTACCACTATCTCAACTCTACCTTATAGTTAACTTGCTACTATCTCAACTCTACCTTATAGTTAACTTACCACTATCTCAACTCTACCTTATAGTTAACTTACTACTATCTCAACTCTACCTCATACTTAACTTACTACTATCTCAACTCTACCTTATAGTTAACTTACCACTATCTCAACTCTACCTTATAGTTAACTTGCTACTATCTCAACTCTACCTTATAGTTAACTTGCTACTATCTCAACTCTACCTTATAGTTAACTTGCTACTATCTCAACTCTACCTTATAGTTAACTTACCACTATCTCAACTCTACCTTATAGTTAACTTGCTACTATCTCAACTCTACCTTATAGTTAACTTACCACTATCTCAACTCTACCTCATACTTAACTTACTACTATCTCAACTCTACCTTATAGTTAACTTGCTACTATCTCAACTCTACCTCATACTTAACTTACTACTATCTCAACTCTACCTTATAGTTAACTTGCTACTATCTCAACTCTACCTCATACTTAACTTACCACTATCTCAACTCTACCTTATAGTTAACTTGCTACTATCTCAACTCTACCTTATAGTTAACTTACTACTATCTCAACTCTACCTTATAGTTAACTTGCTACTATCTCAACTCTACCTTATAGTTAACTTACTACTATCTCAACTCTACCTCATAGTTAACTTACCACTATCTCAACTCTACCTTATAGTTAACTTGCTACTATCTCAACTCTACCTTATAGTTAACTTACTACTATCTCAACTCTACCTTATAGTTAACTTGCTACTATCTCAACTCTACCTTATAGTTAACTTACTACTATCTCAACTCTACCTCATAGTTAACTTACCACTATCTCAACTCTACCTTATAGTTAACTTACCACTATCTCAACTCTACCTCATACTTAACTTACTACTATCTCAACTCTACCTTATAGTTAACTTGCTACTATCTCAACTCTACCTTATAGTTAACTTACTACTATCTCAACTCTACCTTATAGTTAACTTGCTACTATCTCAACTCTACCTCATACTTAACTTACCACTATCTCAACTCTACCTTATAGTTAACTTGCTACTATCTCCAACTCTACCTTATAGTTAACTTACTACTATCTCAACTCTACCTTATAGTTAACTTGCTACTATCTCACTCTACCTTATAGTTAACTTACTACTATCTCAACTCTACCTTATAGTTAACTTGCTACTAATCTCACTCTACCTTATAGTTACTTGCTACTATCTCAACTCTACCTTATAGTTAACTTACTAACTATCTCAACTCTACCTTATAGTAACTTACTACTATCTCAACTCTACCTTATAGTTAACTTGCTACTATCTCAACTCTACCTCATACTTAACTTAGCCACTAGCTCAACCTCTACCTTATAGTTAACTTGCTTACTATCTCAACTCTACCTTATAGTACTTACTACTATCATCAACTCTACCTTATAGTTAACTTACTACTATCTCAACTCTACCTTATAGTTAACTTACTACTATCTCAACTCTACCTTATAGTTAACTTACTACTATCTCAACTCTACCTCATACTTAACTTACTACTATCTCAACTCTACCTTATACTTAACTTACTACTATCTCAACTCTACCTTATAGTAACTTGCTACTATCTCACTCTACCTTATAGTTAACTTAGCTACTATCTCAACTCTACCTTATAGTAACTTTACTACTATCTCAACTCTACCTTATAGTTAACTTACTACTATCGTCAACTCTACCTTATAGTTAACTTACTACTATCTCAACTCTACCTTATAGTTAACGTACTACTATCTCAACTCTACCTTATAGTTACACTGTACCTACTATCTCAAGCTCTACCTGATAGTTAACTGTCTACTACCACTCTACCTTATAGTTACTTCTACTATCTCACTCTACCTTATGTTAACCTTACTACTATCTCAACTCTACCTTATAGTTAACTTACTACTATCTCAAACTCTACCTTATAGTTAACTTACTACTTATCCTCAACTCTACCTTATAGTTAACTTACTACTATCTCAACTCTACCTTATAGTGAACTTACTCCTACTCACTCTACCTTATAGTTACCCACTTACTACTATCTCACCCTTACCTTATGTTAACTTACCACTATCCTCAACTCTACCTTATAGTTAACTTACTACTATCTCAACTCTACCTATAGTTAACTTACTACTATCTCAACTCTACCTTATAGTTAACTTACCACTATCTCAACTCTACCTTACTACCTTATAGTTACTTAGCCACTATCTCAACTCTACCTTATAGTTAACTTACTACTATCTCAACTCTACCTTATAGTTAACTTACTACTATCTCAACTCTACCTATAGTTAACTTACTACTATCTCAACTCTACCTCTTATAGTTAACTTACTACTATCTCAACGCTACCTTATAGTTAACTTACTACTATCTCAACTCTACCTTATAGTTAACTTACTACTATCCCAACTCTACCTTATAGTTAACTTACTACTATCTCAACTCTACCTTATAGTTAACTTACTACTATCTCAACTCTACCTTATAGTTAACTTACTACTATCTCAACTCTACCTTATAGTTAACTTACTACTATCTCAACTCTACCTTATAGTTAACTTGCTACTATCTCAACTCTACCTTATAGTTAACTTGCTACTATCTCAACTCTACCTCATAGTTAACTTGCTACTATCTCAACTCTACCTTATAGTTAACTTGCTACTATCTCAACTCTACCTTATAGTTAACTTACTACTATCTCAACTCTACCTTATAGTTAACTTGCTACTATCTCAACTCTACCTTATAGTTAACTTACCACTATCTCAACTCTACCTTATAGTTAACTTACCACTATCTCAACTCTACCTCATAGTTAACTTGCTACTATCTCAACTCTACCTTATAGTTAACTTACCACTATCTCAACTCTACCTTATAGTTAACTTACCACTATCTCAACTCTACCTTATAGTTAACTTACTACTATCTCAACTCTACCTTATAGTTAACTTACTACTATCTCAACTCTACCTTATAGTTAACTTACTACTATCTCAACTCTACCTTATAGTTAACTTGCTACTATCTCAACTCTACCTCATAGTTAACTTGCTACTATCTCAACTCTACCTTATAGTTAACTTGCTACTATCTCAACTCTACCTCATAGTTAACTTACTACTATCTCAACTCTACCTTATAGTTAACTTACTACTATCTCAACTCTACCTTATAGTTAACTTGCTACTATCTCAACTCTACCTCATAGTTAACTTGCTACTATCTCAACCTCTACCTATAGTTTAACTTGCTACTATCTCAACTCTACCTCATAGTTTAACTTGCTACTATCTCAACTCTACCTCATACTTAACTTACTACTATCTCAACTCTACCTTATAGTTAACTTGCTACTATCTCAACTCTACCTTATAGTTAACTTGCTACTATCTCAACTCTACCTTATAGTTAACTTACTACTATCTCAACTCTACCTCATAGTTAACTTGCTACTATCTCAACTCTACCTCATACTTAACTTACTACTATCTCAACTCTACCTTATAGTTAACTTACCACTATCTCAACTCTACCTTATAGTTAACTTGCTACTATCTCAACTCTACCTTATAGTTAACTTGCTACTATCTCAACTCTACCTTATAGTTAACTTACTACTATCTCAACTCTACCTCATACTTAACTTGCTACTATCTCAACTCTACCTTATAGTTAACTTACTACTATCTCAACTCTACCTCATACTTAACTTACTACTATCTCAACTCTACCTTATAGTTAACTTACTACTATCTCAACTCTACCTTATAGTTAACTTACTACTATCTCAACTCTACCTTATAGTTAACTTGCTACTATCTCAACTCTACCTTATAGTTAACTTGCTACTATCTCAACTCTACCTTATAGTTAACTTACTACTATCTCAACTCTACCTCATACTTAACTTACTACTATCTCAACTCTACCTTATAGTTAACTTGCTACTATCTCAACTCTACCTTATAGTTAACTTGCTACTATCTCAACTCTACCTTATAGTTAACTTACTACTATCTCAACTCTACCTCATACTTAACTTACTACTATCTCAACTCTACTTTATAGTTAACTTACTACTATCTCAACTCTACCTTATAGTTAACTTACTACTATCTCAACTCTACCTTATAGTTAACTTGCTACTATCTCAACTCTACCTTATAGTTAACTTACTACTATCTCAACTCTACCTTATAGTTAACTTACTACTATCTCAACTCTACTTTATAGTTAACTTACTACTATCTCAACTCTACCTTATAGTTAACTTACTACTATCTCAACTCTACCTTATAGTTAACTTGCTACTATCTCAACTCTACCTTATAGTTAACTTGCTACTATCTCAACTCTACCTTATAGTTAACTTACTACTATCTCAACTCTACCTTATAGTTAACTTACTACTATCTCAACTCTACTTTATAGTTAACTTACTTAACTTATCCTGAAAGAAATACAATGAGAATAATTGAATGAGATTTTCTGACATCTACAAACTCTCAAAACCAATCATGATCATGCAGAATAAATATTTAAATATCTTTTCCATCTATATCTGTATGCATTATTTACTGAGTGTCTCTCTTCCTCTCCAGGCTGTTCCTGCAGAACTTCTCTGCCAGTGCCAGAGCTCTGACTGTTGCTGAGACCAAGGCTTTCCTGAAGGCCGGTGACATCGATGGTGATGGCATGATTGGAATCGATGGTGAGAAAAAAAATGGGAATCTTATCTGGAAATAAAACCAAATTAAGAAGCTTTAAATATATCTAAAAAGATCTTGAAATAACCTCTTTCTTTCTTTGTCTTCCTGCAGAGTTCGCCACCATGGTCAAGGCTTAAATGGAAAATCAGACAACATCCTACATCCCTTCTCTTAATTAAGGAACAACTTGAGCCAAGACATAGTCCTCTCTTTTCCCTTTCACTCTCTCTCTCCCACTCACTACACCAGTTTTATACAATTGACCTCTCACCCCCCTGTCCGAAAAAACAAGCCTTCTCTCTCTCTCTCTGTCCACGATGAATGTACCTTTCGAAGTGTATAGCTAGGTTGACTTGTGTCTTTCACTCTCTCTCTCACTGCTGTCCTCATTTTAATTTGTGAGTTTTGCTTATTGTGAAATCAGCGATGATGCACTTTAATGGAAAACGGACGAATGATGAGATCATAATAAAGATTCTTTTTCAATAAAGTCTGACTGGTCTTCAATATGGTTCTGAATTAGAAAATCTAAAAATGCAACACTTTTTTTGCAACAAAAACAGGAAAAATAAACCTTAATCTCAGCAAGAGATCAGTTCCTTCAAAGGAAATCTCAAAAGCTTTTTTCATGAAAACGCCACAAAGCAAATGGAAACCACTTTGGCTACAAGCAACAGCAAAGCCGAACACTAAACAATGGGAATAATATTTCCTCTTTGAGCATATTTGAGTAAAGGAAAAGCAAACAAAGCATATGGTTGTTCCTAAAAATCAGTCATTGAGAAGCACCAGACTTAAAACTAGTTGACACTTATTCCTCAGAGAGAATGTCCACAATTCTTAATTGAAATTCTTAATTGGAGGTGCTGTTCCCCTTTAAACATGCTAACATTAGCTTACACAATTGCCACTGTTTACTAGTGTAACACCAGGTATGGTTAGTAGCAGCAAATTGATTGGGCGAGAGTAAGAAAGTGATGCTACTTCTTTATAAAAGTCACACACTATCAACATGAAGAAGGTCTTTGTCACCAGCTGTGGTGATAGTAAATAAAAAAACACAGATATAACCTCTTAATCTAGACCAGGGGTGGCAAACTCATTTCAGTTAAGGGGCCACATACTGCCCACTTTGATCTCAAGTGGGCCGGACCAGTGAAATCATAGCATAATAACCCACAGGCCCTACATAACGACAATATTTCTGTTTAAGTGCAAATAAGTAGGCTACAAGTACATTCAGAAAATGTCCACATTCTAGACCCTGTCCGTCTCGTACCCATCTGACAGCTGCCCTCCAGCTCTCCTCTCTTTCAATGTGGGGTGATTGTTTTATTTAATTCTTCTTGGGATGTCCTAAGTGAGGATGTCTCTGCATTGAAGTGCAGCAGCCACACGATGGCGCCTCTGATCCGTCATCAAGTCACAAGGAAGGCTCTCAGTTATTTTAAGGGTTTACATTGCCAGCTTTGAATGTGTTTTCTTAGCTCCACTTGAGTCCAGTAGTTTCTAGTACAACAAGGGGCTTTGGACAAATAAAAGTGCCGTCGCTCACAAAGTGTTAAGTCAGCTTCAGTGCATGGTACTACTTTTGAGAATAATGAGATGTATTCCCCTGGTTCTCATTACAAAAAGGCCTCCCCTCTGTGATAATGACATTAGTGATGTTGTGCTGATTGTTTGAATGATTCCTCTTTGCAGACAACAAACTCAGAGTGGACAGTTCTCATGGAGATCAGATGCAAACCTTGAAAACATCAACAATAAAAAAACTCAACCCCTCAACGTATAGTAGCTCAGGTGTGTGTGCATGTGTGTGTAGATGAAGAAGAAGTCATAATACAGGAAATTGATCAAGTATCTAACACTCATAAGTGAATTAAGAATGGTTTGAGCTTATATAATTGCATTTTTTTTTTAAATGCAAATACTTCTTTGACATTTTTGTAATCAGGGAAAACAGAAACATTAATAATAACAATGATAAAAAAAATAAAAATACTGTTATTATTTCTTTATTTGTAATATTATTATAATTATTTTGTACTATTATTTTTATTATTTTGTATTTTTTTAAGTTTATTTCTCTAAATATTTTTTTAATTTTCTCTTCTAAACTGGATTGCCATAAGAACAAATCATGTACTTTAAACCTGAACACACATCTGTAAGTGAAACATGTACATTTGTTGTATTAACCTGTATTGTCACTAATATGAAGTAGATTTATGTGGAAGTTCTTTTAGACGGTTCTGCTCTTAATAAATTTCCTGTTTTTCATCTTCCTCTGGAATAGGATCCTACATTGTTTGTGTTTGAACAGGTTTGAACGGGTTTTCAGGTCAAATGTAACCATATGTTCCCAAAAACAGTGAGGTTTGGAGTCCTTTATCTTTCCCCGACAAAGCTGGTGATATCAGTGTGATACAAAATGTCTCTGGTGAGCCCTAAGAAGATTTATGACCCGCTGCTCTGGGCATCTGAATTTAGGAGATTATTCAGAATAAAACCAAAGAGAGAAAGGAGGTCTGATTAAATTTGAGATGTGGTTAATCTTCCACACATGCACCTGCTGACAGAAAGCAGAGTTTTATGACATCAGAGAGGGACACAGAGAGCAGTGTGCAGCGGAGAGGCAGTGAAGGTTAATTGGGCAGGTGAGGAACTCGAGAAGGAGGCTGCGGCTGGGGGAACATTTGATACGTACACAGGTTGGAAACTCAAGCATCCTTCAGTGCATCCACCCCTGAGTATATAAGAGAGAGGCAGCTGTCAGCGGCTCCACAAAGCCTTATCTCTCCATCTGCTGCTGCTGCTGCTGCTCTGTCTGGACGCTTAGCAACGCTCTGCATACAGCGGTGAGTCCAGGTGTGCTACCTGCTGAGGAGGCATTGACTTTCATTCCTTTATTTGTTATTTTTGCAAGTTTTATGCATGCTTATGATTGTCTGAACTTCTTTGTAAGCTAAAAACGGAATGGTTGCAACTAAATTACCAAGCTAAGGGACAAAGGGATGGATTATTGAATTGATAAAAAAGTGTTTTTAATGCTTTTTGGTCAATATTAGGATTTGTTCTCAGCTCACTAATCCTTTATTTCTATAAGACATTCCTGTAAAATGATAAACAGACTAGATTATACTTCCTCAATTTAAGCTAATGTGATGGGGAAAAAGCATATTATTAATATAATGAGAAACTTTCTCAAAATAACAGCTTAATATTTCAAATAATATATGTTATTTCGTGAAAAGTTACTTATTGTTTTGCGATACTGCGTCATTATTTGAGATAATAACTCATTATTTCGATAATTTCCCTCGTTTTGAACACTTTTTGAATTACTACGTTTTATCTTTTTAGCCACCATATCTTTGAACTCTTAATGATTACAGAGTTTGCAGATCGGTTGCATGACATTTCAAGGCTCAAGGTTTTTTATTTTGTCATACGAACCTACAGTGTAGTAATGCCGATGAAAATCTTAGGTCACAGGCTTCTCCAACAGTGCAACAAAATAAAACAGATAAACAGATAAATATAGTGCAAGTAAATAGTAAATACAAAAAGAAAAATAGTTTAAAAAAGTGAAATATTGCAATAAGAGTCTATATGCAAGTTGGAATGATATATTAGAGAAATAGATAAATAATTACAAGCAGATGAATGTTGTACAGTTTTACTTTTTGTTCAAGAAAGAGCAGTGTATAATTGTTTGAAGAGCAGGAGAGGATGTTTCAACACTCTCTGATTCTATATGTATTTATTTGTAAATATTGTACTAGGGCAAACATATGTTATGAGAAGGGACCAAATGATAATGACACTGTCAAGGGTTTTGCATTTGTTTCCATATAATAGAATCTAAGCTCACCCCCACCTTCCCACCCAAATCATTTTCATACAGTCCCCAAGTGCCAATTATCCTGCACAGCCTTGCAAATCCAATTAAGCGCAGCAAATAACATCAGTAATTATGAGGCGCCAGGGGAAATCCAACCAGGAAGCCTAATAAATCACACATAGCACATAACGTAATTGTTATGACTTTATAAAAAGGAAAACACACTGGTAGCAAAGAGTATATTCTTTAAACATGCAAGCTGTATTTTCACTTTATTCCGTTCTCCTTTTCCTGGAAACTTCAGCATTTTTGGCAAAACCACCATGACTGCAGTTGAAAGGATTATGATATTAACCTAGGTCTGTGTGTGTGTGTGTGTGAGTGTGTGAATAATTTACAGAGCTTTTCTTTGACCCTTCAGGACCAACATGTCGCTCACCTCCATTCTTTCAGCTGAGGCCATTGAAAACGCTGTCAAGGACTGTCAAGGTAGCATCTCCTCTCTCTCTCTCTCTCACACACACACACACACAGACACACACACACACACACACACACACACACACACACACACACACACACACACACACACACACACACACACAGCCCCATTTTTTAAGCCACTTATTATTCATAGATGTGCCATGCGCAAGCAAATTATGCTGAATCCACAACTTCAGAATTAAGATAATAGCTTTATCTTTAACTTACTAAAGCCAAACTTAATTATAATAAAATGCACAATAATTCCCAACCACAAATGATTAATCAACCTACTTCTAATCGGAGTCAAGAGTGAGATCTTAGAAACACTCTCCGATATTATTATCTTGGCTGTATTGTTCTCATATTGTACATTATCTTCTCCACTAAAGCCATAGAAAGCTTAGACTGCATTTCCAAGGGTTTTCAATCTCCTGTCTCCTGGATTTAAAAGATAAAAACACAGGTTGAAAATCTCCCACCTGGACTGCAGCCATGTGTTTAATCTCCATATCAGCTTCCACCCTGCTGAACCTCATGGGTCAGCTATTTTTTTTTTTAAGTCTAGGGTTGTGTTTGACTTTGTGTTTTGCAGCTCCGGATTCATTCTGCTACAAAAAGTTCTTCAAGCTGTGTGGCCTGTCCTCAAAGATGCCCCAGGAAGTCAAAGATGTCTTCCAGATCCTCGACGAGGACAACAGCGGCTTCATCGAGGAGTCTGAGCTCAAGTGTGTGAAACATAGATTCGGGATGTATGATGATGATGTAATACACTAACCATTGATTACCTTCTGATTATGTAATGTATTAGTGCCTTAATTCACAAAAATGCACTGGAAAGAATAATTTATCTTCCTCTATCCAAAAGGTTTCTTCAACTAACATCATTTTTAGATTCAATAATTGACACTGAGTTCCTGACCTAGACCCTACTTCCTCAGGAAATGTGTGTGTGTGTGTGTATGTGTGTGTGTGTGTGTGTGTGTGTGTGTGTGTGTGTGTGTGTGTGTGTGTGTGTGTGTGTGTGTGTGTGTGTGTGTGTGTGTGTGTGTGTGTGTGTGTGTGTCTGACAGAAAGAAGGATTTAGTACATGACGTCACAGTGGTATGATTGGGCACCATTAAGCTGTCCACAATGAGCAAACCATGTTATTGCCTTAGTGTTATGTTATTCAACCTTAAAGGTCGACACAAGCCGTGCATTTAGGAATAAGGTGGCATGATAAGAGGAAAATATGGGATATGGGTAATGATAAGGATATCGTTTGCTAAAATGACGATGCTGATAAAATAGCACAAATTGTTTTTCTTCAAAAAATAGATAAAATAAAAGTTATTTCAAACCATCTTTTATCCAACAATGTTAACTGAACAGAGAGGCACACCAGAAAAAGTATATTGGCTACTAATACTTTCTTTCAACTTACTCAAAATGTGTGTGTGTGTGTGTGTGTGTGTGTGTGGTGTGTGTGTGTGTGTGTGTGTGTGTGTGTGTGTGTGTGTGTGTGTTGTGTGTATGTGTGTGTGTGTGTATGTGTGTGTGTAGGTTCTTCCTGCAGCGGTTTGTCCCTGGGGCACGGACACTGAGTGAGGCAGAAACCAAGACCTTAATCTCAGCAGCTGATGATGACAGTGACGGCAGAATTGGAGCAGAGGGTCGGTGTCTGATTTCTCAGATTGCATTCACAGAAACTCATGATGCAGGCAGGAGTTATCTCATTGGTTGGAATTCTTTGTTTAAGTCAAACAGAGACAGCTTTTTTGAATGCAGCTTAGAGCACTTGTTACCTGGACATTCTGAGATACATCTGTCTAAATGTTATGATTTACTTTATTCACATTGACGAAACATGCTAGAAAACATTGCATTAATTTGACTCTTTACTTTGAACTCTTGTAATAAAATTGGGTGAGAATTTACATGCGTTTAAAAAATAAAGACAACATTTAAGGCGTCACTTTACTGCGGCACCTGGGTTCAAATGTAGGAAAACTGTGTGTTTTGGGGGAACATAAAACATGCATATAAACTTAGTATAGCTAGTCTTTTGTTAGATAAAATACAATGAGACTTTGGACATCTTGAATCATTCCTGATGCAAACAATTTTTTGGATTGAATGTTAACACTGTGTACTGTTTCCTAACAGTAAGACTGACCAAGAATAACAGGCATAACTTGTCTGCATTAGCATTGCTTATCATGATCAGTTTAAGTACGTGCGCATCCGTAATAGCAGCTAGTGTTTGTGATCTGATTAAATCTTCATTATAAGATGTGTTAGACTTTTAAACTATAGGTTTATAGACATACTGTTGTTTGTACTGAAGCATTGTTACTTTGGAGCTCAGAGATACAGCTCTTATTTCTTTCTTTAACGTTTGTTACCAACAGTGAGTACTTCAAATGTTTTTTCCAATCCTACAGTTACCAACAAAATCTGAGTTTAGCTGTCTTACATAATAGGATAAAGGATTTGGACAATCCAAAAATGTGGCCCATTGCATTCAGTGATTATTTGTGCATGTGATTAACATTAAGGTCCGTTTTAACATGCCTTTCTTCCTGTAGAGTTCCTGACCATGGTGCAGTCCTGAGTCTTTCCCATGAAAACAGCTCAAGCCTTCAGGTCTGCAGCCCTCTCCTCACCTCTGGAGTCTAAAGATCCCAGCTTCCACTCCCAGTGATTTATTTTGTTTTCTACTAAATTATGTGTGGCCTAATTGTTTTTCCAGACACTGTGTCCAGTTAAAGACAACAGACTGTCAATGTGTCTTTTTCCACTTGGAAAACACTGTGCATACCCCACCTCTGTCAATGAATGAGATGAATAAACGTGTGGAAACACAGATCACTTCTTTGTGTTCACTTCTTCTTGGTTAAACAGGTTAACATTATTAAAACCTCACTCATATAATACGCCATTAACGTGCAAAAAGAATGCATGAATGTACTTAAATAGTAGCTGATTCCTCAAAAGCATAATCCATAAAAGTGAGAGCAGGGAATAAAAGCATCATAGGAGTTTTCAATAGTGTTGCATTTCTAAATAACACATATCAAAGAAAATGCTTCAGTGCAAGATGCTGCAAAATAGGTACGTTGTGGTATAATTTGAAACAAGGAAATACAAAAAAATGACCAGGTCCTTCCAAAAGTATAATATTCTTGATTTGTTAACTAATCCAACCAAACAGCACAGCGCACAATAGAGGAGTTGTACGAGGATGTAATCAAATGCAAGATCAAACAAGAGAAGGCCCAGGGTTAAGTTTTATTGAGACAAAGCAAATGTTTAGCTTGGTTACGATTGAGTAGGGTTTAATAGCGTCACTGTAATCTAGAGTTTAACGTGCGTACTTTAACCTCTTTGCAAACAAGAGCATGAACAACTCCCAATACTAAGAAGGCTTCAGCTTAAACCAAACATTACTGTATGAAACCACATCCTTGACTACTGTTTTATTATAAAAATGTAAGGTTATAAAACAGTGACCTTTGTTGTGATGTGAAAATATCAAACGTCATACTGTTGGATACATTCCCAAAGTATGTCCATAGAGTACAATACTTTAGTTTAGACCAATCACAACAAATGTTATAGGATTTTTTTATATCAAGCTAAATGATTTTGGCGAAATAGATAACACATAATTAATTTGACTTTCTCCCTATAGACTCAAAACAAAATTATGAATTCACTGATATGAAGTAGGAACATTTATTCGTCTTTATTTGGTACACGGACAGTACAATATGTGACACCGCGCTGTCAAAAAGCAGGAAGTTAAGAATGTAAAGTATAATGCGGCATCTCCTCTCATTGATCTAATTTACTCATTATTTATTATAATTAACACAATCTCTAAACACAAGGATATGCAGGTGTTGGGTCTTGGCTCTGTGAGGTGAGTGCTACCTTCGTGTTCTTTCTGTCACTCAGTTTTCCCCCAACGGAAAACACAACTCAATGTTAGCATTGAAGCTAAGCGGCTAACTAGCTGCTCAACGGTCAAATTGCCATAACAACTGTCGTTAACTGGCTTTTTAACGGTTACTGTTAACTGGTTGTACTTGTTAACATACAGAAACAACGCTGTGTTTTTGTAAAAGCAAAGAAATACAGTAATTTGTTACCTGCATCACAGCAGCACCATCAGACAAGGAAGGACAAATAATAAGACACGATACAAGGAAAACAAACATTTAACATAACATCACTTAACTTATTAAAGTCGTAATTTCACGGTGCTGCAATGAGTGTAAACAACAGCAATGGCAGCATATAAAACGGCTATTAGACTAAAACATGTATTTGATACACAGCACAGGTACAACGTATTGAATTGTGGTTATTCAGATACTGTACCAAAGGGAAGATACACATACGTAAGCTTTTCCTTCTCTAAATGTATCTTATGGCTGCTAGCTTACTTACAAGTTAAACTTTTAACAATAAAATATATTCAAACCCTTAATAACTTCTTGTAGTTAGGGTACCTGATGCTGTGGTTTATTTGCATTGGATCAGCAAAACATTACAAATATTTCCCAGGTAGAAATGCATTTTTAAGGCAGCCTTGGTGCATTTTACTTAAAAAAATTGCATTACATTTACAGTTGATTTAACCTACAGCTAATGCAGTCTATTACAACAGCCCTGCAATAATAGCTCCTTCTTACATGAAGCGTATGCATAGTTTTTGTTTTACATTCAACTTTACGTCTTCCTTTGAATAATAATAATAATGGGTTTCATTTATAAAGCACTTCAAATCCCGAAGTGCTACAAGTATAAAAACAGTACACAACACGGTAGAATGAATAAAAAGTAATAAAAAACAAACAATAAAATAAAAGGGTGGTTATAGATAAAAGGTCTAGGGAAAGGCTCTGTTGAAGAGATGGGTTTTGAGGCCTTTTTTAAAAGCCTCCACGGTCTGTGGTGCTCTCATTTGGTCGGGGAGAGCATTCCACAGACTGGGAGCAGCCGAGCAGAAGGCCCGGTCTCCCATAGTATGGAGCTTGGTCCTGGGGGGTCTGAGGAGGTTGGAGTTGCTGGAGCGGGTGGTCCGCAAGGAGGTATGGGGGGTGAGGAGTTCCTTGAGGTAGGGAGGGGCAGTTCCATGGATACACTGGTGGGTGAGGAGGGAGACCTTGAATTCGCAATAAGGATGGGGGTGATGTGATCATATTTGCGCACCCTCATCAAATCAATCTTTGAGGCCATATTGTGACGCAGATTTATTGTTTTGCCCTATACTGACAATTATCAATCGTATTAAGAGCATGTAGACTTTATCAGAAACACTTTACAGTATTTTAGACTGCCTTAGTTTTGCGTAGGACCCTAGGTGCACAAAATGCTCTGACGAATATGATTTATAGTTTTGTCTTATGCATGGATCTGGAAACACCAATTCTCCTTTTCAGGAACTCTGCCTGTACCAAATCCAGAACAATAGTTGGATAACTGATTTTTGGGGGTAATAATCTTAATCCTATAATCCAAAAACAATCCTGTTAGTAGTAGTTTATTATTATCGTCCAGCTCTGTTCTGTTACAGTATGTGATGTCATTTCTCTTCATTCTGCAGGCACACGGCATGCTAACCAAACAGCCTTTGGAGCAAAGGAAATCCAGACACAAGTTCCACTAATGTTGATGATTAGGTAAAGCGTGATTGTGATGATGCAACGCTGACACAGAGGGCTTTATCTGTGTATCACTGTCTGTCAGCTGTCTCTCTGTGTCGTTACAGTCCCAGGATGGCCTCAGGAATGCAAGAGAAACAGTTCACGGCATCTCTGCTCAACTTCTTCGTTTACAACCCAACATTTGGACCACGGGAAGGAGAGGTGATACAGAAATGCTAAGCACATGTTTTACACCTGTATCTGTTTAATCCAACTGTTAATTCAAGGTTGTTGTCTTTTTAAGGAAGAGAAGAAGATCTTGTTTTACCACCCGAGTGAAGTGGAGAAAAACGAAAAGATCCGAAATGTGGGTCTTTGTGAAGCCATCGTACAGTTCACAAGGTGAGTTCAGTACTCTAAGCAGAGCCTTAAAGCCTCAGCAGCATTTCCCATGACATTATACTGACTGGGTGCCTTCTGGTGTGTTTATTTCAATTCAATTCAAAACCTTTATTTATCCAGGTAAAATCCCATTGAGATCAATGATCTCTTTTTCAAGGGAGACCTGCAGCAGTAGGTTCCACAAGAAGACATCAAAACATAAACAACAGAAGGACATCATACAGCAAAATGTACAGGGATTACAATTTACATATTTAACCACAAGTACAGGTACCAACAGCATCTGATTGAGTAGCATCCAACCGAGCTTTAAAAACATGTAGTGGTACTAGCTTGGTAATTTTCCATTCTTTTTGCAGACTGTTCCATGTTAGTGGAGCTGCACATCTAAAAGCTTTCTTCCCTAAGACAGTCCTAGCACTTGGCACATTTAATAAAACCACAGCATGCGATCTCAGGCAATAAGTACTTTCAATTCGCAGAGAGATCAGGGAGCAGATATAAGATGGTAGTTTATCCAACATGGCTTTGTAAATGAAAAAGTACCAGTGACTGAGCCTCCGTACAGTTAGTGATGGCATAACTGCCTTGGTATACAGGGTACAGTGATGCGTGAGTGCTTTACAATTTGTCACAAATCTCAGTGCACTGTGATACGCAGCATCTAACTTGCTCAGGTAATTGGCAGGTGCACTCATATATAACAAATCACCATAGTCCAGCACAGGTCAAAAGGTCACAGAGCCTTTTCCTGGCCTCAAGCGAGAAACAGGACTTATTTCTGTAAAAGAAACCTAGCCTAACCCTCAGCTTTTTAAGCAGGTTGTTGACATGAAGTTTAAAAGTGAGACAGTCATCAAGCCAGATACCCAAGTATTTGTAACAGGTAACCACTTCAAGTTGTATTTATCCCTTTGGCGTCATATTAAGACTTGCCATGGATTTAAAAAGTGTCTAATATCATTGCATAGCTTAATTTGGCGAGCTCTGTTAAAGAAAACTAAATAAACGAGTCATTCTGTGAACCTGAACTGTAACATAATAGGGAAATGTCACAATAAGTGGTCAGATACACACTTATACTTATCTACTTTGTCTGTAAAAACACAAAATAGGAGGGTTGATCATGTTTGTCTTCACGGTCATTTCTTCTATCTTCCAGGACGTTCTGTCCAACAAAGCCAGCTAAATCCCTGCACACACAGAAGAACCGGCAGTTTTTCTTTGAGCCCGAGGACAATTTCTGGATGGTCATGGTATCTTAAAGGCTCCAATGTTACATTACTTGCACAGTATTCAGTCCGTTTGTCTAGAACTTGTTGGATTGTATGAATTTAATCCGTTTGTATCCACTGTTAATTCCTCAGGTGGTTCGAAACCCAATGATCGAGAAACCAAACAAAGATGGCAAACCTCCCACGCAAGAATATCAGGAAGAGGAAATACTTGTGAGAGATACTCATCAACGTCTGTATTTAAGTCATTGAATACGGTCACATCATTTGTTTCTCATCATGCTCTTTTGACTTTGCAGGACACCGTTTACGGTGCGGTAGTTAAAGAATGCTACAGTATGTACAAGGTGAGTTCCAGGATGTTGCCAAGGGGCCCTATTATGCTTTTTTGGATGTGCCTTGGATGTTGCAACAGAGACCTACACCCCTACAGTACTTAATTTTCAGACATTTTCAATTAAGAATATCATCTTAACAGTGATTTTTTTTCTTGTAGCTCTTCAATGGTACGTTTGGCAGAGCAGTGGAGGCCGGAGGAGCGGAGCTGCTCATCCAGAAGCTTGAAAAGTTCTTCT